CTACTACAAAATTGTTGCTGTAGCAGGATAAGTGGTGATAACAAATGCTTATTTTATTTAAAGCATTTAAACACTACTTTTCCACCCAATTGTGACCTTCAAGGCAGTGAACAATTAAGATATTAAAATCAGTTTATAAAAACAGTACATATAAAACCAATAATTAAAAACAAGCTAGGATGGCTAGAAAGGAATGCCAAACAAAGCAAAAGTCTTCACCCACTGACAGAAGACAATGCTGGATTGGATATTCTGTACTATTGACTACATTTACTTAATCGTGTAATCCAATTCAGATCTCAGTAAGAAAGACAGACTGTACCAGCTTAAGGGCAGCAACACATACAACACATTACAGTAAGCTACTCTAGATAGTACCAGGCCATGTACCACAGTACATGAGCTTGGGATTTTCATCATACCCAGCAACATCCCCCCCCCCACTCTTCAATGAGGAATATCTTTAGGTTTTGGTTTCTTCTTAATAATGGCTAGCCTGAAAAACAGAATTGCCCTTACCTGTAGCTGATGTTCATTGATGTCTTCTGTGCAGACACAAGTTGGGATTGCACTTGCACAGGCCTGCCTCAGGTTTTTTTCCCTAGCTTGATATTATCAAAGGGGCTAGCCCCTCCCTCTTGGAGCCAATGCAAGTCAAGTCAAGTAGTTTATTGTCTTAGCCATTGGCCATAACAACACAAAATAAATCAAAGCACAACCAACAGTATACATCAGTCACTTACAGTAAGTCCTAGACCCAGTCTTATCTTTTTCGCCACCAGTGCAAACAAAGCCATTCTGCTAGTAACATGTGCATCAATATCAGAGAGCAAGAAAACGGTCAAATCCTGCTCTGAAATTCCATTATACCGAGGTACAATAGGATAAATAAACCTTTGCCTAAGTGATTCGTGCCATGAACATCTCAGAATGTAATGCTCGACATCATCCACTTCACCCATACCACAGAGGCATATTCTGGAGGCGGCAGGGACACCCCGAAAGCGGCCAATACAAACCATTGAGGGTATGACGTGGACTCTTAGGGCAGTAAAAGCCCTTCTCAGCTTTGGAGCCAATGCAATGGCATTTTTATGCCCAAACCATCACATGCTCGGGGGGGGGGCACCCATCACCTTCATTTTCTGCAAAGCTGCTGCAAAACTCAACAAAACAGGAAGAACTCCGGAGAGCTCACAGTGGGGCAGGAGGGAGGGAATGTGTGTCTGCACAGAAGATGCCAATGAACATCAGTTACAGGTGTCAAATGTTTAATACAGTCGAAGACCCATCAAGTAATTCACTTACAGGTAAGTGCAACTTCATTTTCATCTTCCGTCTTTCTTTAGTGCAGCCCCTCATTGGGATTTTAGGATGCTACTCACTAAGCAGAAGGAGGAGTGATGCTCTCACTGGACCAAAGATTGGAGAATTGCTTGGCCAACCTCTGCATCCCTCCTTGATTGCAGGTCCAGCACATAGTGCTTGACGAACATGTCCTCAGCAGCCCACATCGCGGCCCTCTCACTGGACCAAAGATTGGAGAATTGCCTGGCCAACCTCTGCATCCCTCCTTGAATGCAGGTCCAGCGCATAGTGCTTGACGAACATGTCCTCAGCTGCCCACATCGCGGCTTTACAGATGTCCATGATGGATATTCTGTGATAGAAAGCTGCCAAGGATCCTTGTGCCCTCGTGGAGTGAGCCTTAACCTCAAGAGGACAGGGCTTGCCAGAAACCTCATGACAGGCCCTGATGTCTGCCACAACCCACCTAGCCTACGGACTGCAAAGAGGCTGCCCTGCCCTTCTTAGGACCTGCATAACAGAGAAATAGGCTCTTGTCTACCTGGAAAGGTCTTGTCCTGTCCAGATAATATGACAGGATCCTCCTGACATCTAAGGAATGTAAAGCTTTTTCCACCTTGGAAGTAGGGAATGGGGAAAATACAGGTAAAACCACCTCCTGAGCAAGGTGGAACTTGGAAACCACTTTGGGCAGAATCTCTAAACTAGGGTGCAACACAACCTTCTCACTGAAGATCTTCAGGAAAGGCGGGTCTACTCTTAAGAACTGCCAACTCACTCATGCAGGATGACCTTCTCACTGAAGATCTTCAGGAAAGGCGGGTCTACTCTATGAACTGCCAACTCACTCATGCAGGACGTGCACAGGCACTTATCCTCTGTTCCCAGTTGCACTCCACCACTCAAACGTTATACTAAGCGGAGGAGCGCTACTATTTCCCTTGACAATAAAGCCTATTCAATGTTCCAACCGGCTCCACAGAGTCAAAAGCCTGTAAACGTCCTGCACGAATCCCCTCAACTCTTTCCTGGCTTTACCATATGATTATGGCCTGATGAAATGGGTCGAAACGGAGATGTACCTGAGACATCCGTTGCTGAGGTTAATACTACGTGGTTAACTTGGTGCATTATGGTTTAGCTTCATGTGTTTAAATTCAACTTGTACTGCATCTTGAAAGAATAGTCAATAAGAGGTTTTTGTAATTCCAAGTAGAATTTTGTGTGTATTCCTTCATTACAGTGTTTTTCAGATTTAGTACACTCACTGTAGTACGAACCTATCAGCATGATAAAAAGTAGAGACATCACCCTGCCAACAAAAGTCCGCATGGTCAAAGCCATGGTATTCCCAGTAGTCATGCATGGCTGCTAGAGTTGAACTATAAGGAAGGCCGGGCGCCGAAGAATAGATTCTTTTGAACTATGGTGCTGGAGAAGACTCTTGAGAGTCCCCTGGACTGCAAGAAGATCAAATCAGTCGATCCTAAAAGAAATCAACCCTGACTGTTCCCTGGAAGGCCAGATAATGAAACTGAAGCTCAAATACTTTGGCCACCAAATGAGAAGGGAGCACTCACTGGAGAAGACCCTGATGCTGGGAAAGACTGAAGGTCAAAGAAGACGGGGACGGCAAAGGATGAGATGGTTAGACAGTGTCATCGATGCAACGAACATGAAACTTGAGCCAACTTCAGAGGACGGCGGAAGACAGGAAGGCCTGGCGGGATCTGGTCGATGGAGTCGCGAAGAGTCGGACTCGACTGTGCGACTGAACAACAACAACTCACTGT